TACATATTGTTATTTTTAGATTTCGAGATTTTTTGTTGATGCTATGGTGATCATACTGTTTTTAACTTCTTAACCAGACACTATTTGGAACTGCAGGCGGATCTCGGCGTCCAACTTCTAACGGCCTAAATTATGATGATGATCATGATGATGATGGTGAGGAAAGATCATGTGGTAATGAAGACAGCGACGACGACGACGACGACAATGATGATGATATTGTTGATGATGATGATGATGATGATGATAATGATGGTGGTGATAATTATAATATGCCGACGACGATGATGCTGATGGTGATAATAATTGTGACGGATAATATGGATGTTGATGATGATGAAGATGATATGATGTTGTTAATAATGATGGTAATATAAATTTTAAAAAACTGCAATAACAATAATCCTCATTATTATCATCATCATCATCATCATGACGACGATTATAGGATTTATTGAAAGAGGAAATTGTGATGATAAAAATATTGCTCTAAAATATTGTTTATAAAAAAAATGAAAACTGCAATAACAATAATCAACATTATCATCATCATCATCATCATGACGACGATTATAGGATTTAGTGAAGGAGAAAATTGTGATGATAAAAATATTGCTCTAAAATATTGTTTATTGTGATGCTTATGTTTATTTATGTTATAATCAATGAATATATTCTACACAAACGAAAACAAACGGGCTCAGTGAAATTCCTCATGACCGCGATGTCATTAACCGAGACGTCATTATCAGATGGGCAGAGAGAATGGAAATCTAATTAATGATCTCATTTCGTTTCGTTAATAAAAACATGTTTTCTAGTGTTAATTGTTATTGGACTTTAATCCTGTTTACTTATTATTATCTCCGCCAAATGTAGAGGCTATATAAACAGATAAACAAACTGTTCAAATCTAGGATACAAACAAGGCTGATACAGTATCGGTAATACCGGTACCTGACCCATTGCAAACTCTTTATTAACATCAACAGTGTATTCTGTTATAAAAAAGGTCGGATCCAGTGTAGCGACATGTTTGATGTAATCAGATCAATATTTACTACAAAAGTGAATAACCTTTCTGACATTACTTCAAGCTTCAAGTTATGTTGACACGCATTGTTGTTAAGTGTAAATCTCACGTGCGTACGTCATATTGTGAGACATTCTTTAAAGGTGTTGGTGCAAACGCACGCAACACGCTGTAGGGGGCTTACTAGCAAATGCATTGATGCAGCGCGTATACAAACCTTAAGCTGGGCGCACACTGAGTCGTACGGTACGGTCGTAAGACGGATCCATCTCCGCTCTCCGTAGCGATTAATGACGCGACACCGTCTGCTGAGAGTTGATTGCAGACTGAGTGGATTGTTGCGTGCGCCTCGTTGGCTACTTTCTCCGTGGAAATCGCGTCGGTCGAGGGCGGTCGGCACAGGGTGCATGCCTGCTGCCCGGCTTTAGCCTGCAGAATACTGGTGATGTCATTGGCTTTTCTAAGCGTATCCGATGACCATTAGAATCGATGTGCAATTATGAAGTCATATGTTGGACTAATAATGCCAACAAGAATCACTGTCAGGCGAATAACACGCGATACACTATTTTCATTGATGACTCAACAATTAATAAAATCAATTCTCAATAAATACTTGACAGAGTATATTAGAATACTGGTACATTAATATAATTTAAACTCTTAGTGAATGCATTTAACACATTATTTTGTCATGATGCACTGTGTTAGTTCGCGCAATAAAAGCCACGCCTATGAGATTTCATTCGGGGTTTCCATGAAGCTTTAGTCTCTAATTAGCAGCTTTAGTCTCTAATTAGAATAAAAGACATTTGTTAATGTGAGACCACAGAAAATGGTCTTTACTTGAAGAGGGGTCTTTAATTAGAGGGAGACCTGCAAAACAAATACAGTATTGCCGTAAAGCTAAAACCAAAAACATAATAAAACTATACCTCCAATTAAAGACCACATTTCTGTGGTCCCATATCAACAAATGTCTTTTATCTTTATTATTCTAATAAAGATGCTAAAGACCATGGAAACCACGGTCCCAAAAGTGGTCTTTAATTGGAGGGAGACCTGCATTTTCAAAATAAGTCCATCAAAATTATTAAAATTATATTGAAATAGGCCATACTGAGTGAAATTCACCTAACGAACATTTTTAAGATCGATATTGTACACTTTGTTCAAAGGCGTTGTCTTGAATCTTGTCGATCCTATAGTATTTTTTTATATGTTTTTTTTATGAACAGTTCTTATCCAAAAAACAAACTTTTTTGACAAAAGGCCTAATTTTGTTAATGCTAAATGAATACATTGAACATTAATTCAACGGCGCGGAAGGTTTAAAACATATTCTTGGTGGATTGGTGTAGGTGCGTTGAACCCAAGGGAAACGTCCCACAGGACTGCGCTTCTATTGCCTGGATTATCACGCTTCCACTCAACACTGAACACAGGAATACTCACAACATTGTTCATTCCTATTCATACCCGTCTCTGGAGTTTCAATAGAGGTGGATATAAGGCGAAGAGAACGCTCAGAAATCTAAACCCATGGGTAAGACCCCGCAGGCATATTAAATACTTTCGAATGAAAAGAACTGAGATTTAATGAGGAAAAATATTAGCACAATATACCCATCAAGCCTAGTTTGCTGTTTACCAATCCGAGCGTAAAGATGTCGGATGAAAGTTACCTAATTTGTCTTAAAGTGGCCAGTTCCATGAGTTATGACGTCACAGTCGCGCATACAGTATATTCTAATGGCGGAGCGCGAGCGCGTAACGTATCTATCGCACTGATTCAGTCACGCTGGTAGTCCTATAAGCTATATTCCAGATTTGAATTTATAAATGCTGGCTCAAGTTAATGAGCACGTCATCCCATGGGAGCGCTACTTTAATCTCATATTCTTTAAATACCGTTACCTCTACATTGACAGGTACGTAACTTGGCAAGCTATTACTGATGTGTTAAACGAACCAGTTAGCTTTTGTTCAAAGTGCCGCTCAGATTAAAAAGGACAGTTTACACCTGACGAAGTTTCGTAATGGCACTTGATATGAAACAATTGCAGCATAGAAATGTTACTATATTCTTACAAATCACGTATTGTCGCAATACTTTCAGATTTACATTCTCTAACGCTACTTACTACATTACTCAGGTTTTTTAGCAGGTATTCATGACAAACTATGTCATATCTGGCTTCAGTCTAAATATTTAGGTACTTTCAGGGTACATTTGACATTTGTTTTTTTGGGGGTATTTTTCATGACAGGCTTGAAAGAGAAACATTGCCTGCGGTAAACTATAAATTCTATTAAACCGTTTTGTATTATTTTTCAGCCAAATGTGTCTTTCCTGACTTGAGAGTTGTTTGTTGGCTTTACTCCAGGAAGTCCCATCACAAAGCCAATCTTCTGGGGGAGTCCGAGTCAAACCAAGTGTTTTGTATCCGATAGCTTTCATTTTGCTTTGTGATTTTGTTTATGCGTCTAGTTCCTCTGGGCCAAAGCTTAGGCAAATTACACAATGTATACCGATATTTATGCTCTTGTTTCCTCTTAGGCCTACGCGTAGCAATAGCGGAAGTCTTAAACTTTTATTAATCAATTTAACATATAAGCTTAATTTGTGTATTTATTTATTTCGGAAACAGGTAAGTAGATTTATCCCCAATCATAATTACAACTTGTTTGCATTAATTTTATAACTTTTCTTAGATTTTAAGATAAACATAATAAGCTTTGTGAAATCATAGCGAGAAGAAGTACCGTATACTATATAGCTATCAGGGCTAACAAAATTGATAAAAACAGTCATAAATGAAAAGATTAATTACGACACTTGTCTATGGTAACCCCAAAAATGAGAATAAGAGAGAGAACTGGCCTATTAAGTCTATAACTAGTATTTTGAAAAACATGGGGAAAAAATGAGGAAGTGTCAATCGTTAAAATATTTTAGCTTCAAACTGGCAACTTTGACACCCCAAAAGAGAACCAGGTTTCTCTGTGCCTCTTTGCATTTGATTCCCCTAACTTAAAAATCTAGGCCTAAGCCTAGCCTGCCTGACCACAACCATCAATCGACAGAGCGCTGCAGCGCGTGAGTAATATCATAGTTATTTTGACAGATGAGTAACGCCGGCCTATAATGTGTGTGGTCACATCTCAGTACATAGTATTAGTCAGATCTTAGAGTCGCTGGCAATTAGGTCAAATAATAGTCTACTATACAGGTATTAGGCCTAAATTTATAATTATACAGGTAAGTACATCATAAAGTTAATGACATGTTTTCATTTCACGTGTGATATGGTATAGCCTATTTTTGATGATGATAATAATAATAATAATAATAATAATAATAATAATAATAATAATAAATATAATAATAATAATAATAATACTTCTATAATAATAGGCATTGATTACCGATTCCTTTATTTATTTATTGATCCATTCATTATTCAATTAATTAATTCATTGGTCCATCACCCATTCATTATTGTAATCATTTGTTGGTGTTGTGATCAAGTATAGTTCTACCAAATATGTACTACTGTCACGTTTTACAAATACTACTGGGATAACAACATGTGATATACCAGAAATTATCCTCAAATTAAAAAAAAAAGCTAAGACAATGACAATCGTGTATAGAGACCGAAAGAGCAGGCAATGCTATATAACGTCCGTTCATTTGACTTGACTTTATTGTCAAAAAAAAAAAATGGCAACACCACTAGTTGGCGTGGTTTCGTATTTGTATATAATTTATTACAATTACAGTAGCATGAAGAGCGGGTAATTTACCGCTGTACATTGGATGAATCACATGCAATAGTAACTGCTAAAATAATAGATGATCACTGTTTGTGAATCCAAAGTGCTGATTGGTCAATCCAAGCAGTAATTCATAGTTTACGCCCGGATGTTAGATGCCAACATGTGCTCCTGTCATAATAGACTCGTGAGCAATGCATACTTCATTCATTCACTGACAGCGCGTAGACGTCGAGTGTGTTAACGGTAATTGACAGAAATCTTGGATAATTTCTAGGTTCATTACTGAAAACAATCTAAGTAATTTTTTTGGGGAAATACAAATCGTCATGAGGATAAGAAAAGGTAGGTTTGTGTGTATATTTTTGTGTCTGATATTCGATGCACTGCACGTTGTCATTTGAATGCGGTTTCCTCGTGTGCTATACTGTATAGTATTATTAGTATTAGATTGACGGACGCTTCAATATGTTATCGCTGTTATAATGCAAAACATCGTGGTGTGTACTATGCGCTTTGTTTATAAGCTATAGGATTCCATGCATGTACAATGCATGGTTTATTAGTCATTTATTGTTGAGCTTACAGTACAACTCGAACTTATTTATGTCATTCTCAGATCTCCGACTGATATTGATAATTAAAATGAACTACTGTAATAATTTGGCATTTGCTGTTTCAAGAATACCATACCAATAATGTTTAATTTAAATTCAAATTACGTAATGGAATTTAGATTTTACTTATACGTGATAGGCAGGAGTGGTGTTACTCTCTGTTCGTCTTTGTGTATTATGTTCCACTTATATAAGAGGCCTATTGAATGATGTATGAAGGCCTACTTTAAAAAAAAAATAAATATATGTTTAATTGGATGTAAAAGACTGTCGTATATGTTTACTATTTTAGTATACTACACTAGCGTCGTGTTTTACTAGTTTGCCTTTTGATTTATCTCCATTGATTTCTTGGTGGTTGACAAGTTACAGTGGTTTACCTTGAGATGCTAGAAATGTAGTTAGTTTACTCGATAGGTGGCGAGGCGGGCAAACATTTGATCACTGTATTAGTAGTACCTACGTGTCCTTGCCGCTTCAAACAAAAATTCGACTACAGCTCGAGGGCCTTTATCATCCTTAATCATGAGCCTAGTTTCGCATTATGAACCAGCTCAATGGTACTAATTGTCCTGGGATTTTCGCACAAAAGATACCTACTGTACGCTGCTAAGTTGAACTCCTGCATAGAATTTATTTTCCCCCATGCTCTGTGTAGGCCTATTTACTGTACATTATATTCCATTCTAAATCTGGCATAACCATGTTAAAATGTTCAGACATACATAGCTTAAGCAGTGTTTACACCATGCTTATGATGGGGCTGTCATCACCACGCTTAAACATGTTACCATTCGCTCTTGAAAATAAAATGTGCATCATTACTCTAATGCATTCTGAACAACGATATGATCGCCGCTCATTGTGAGTGCCAACGCGGATAGATCCACAAATAAATGAGATCGTACTAGTAATAATTAATGCTAGACATTCGAACAATCTGGATAGATTGACGAGAAAACTGACTGCGCTACCATATGGTTTATACCATTCACTCATCACCAGCAATATGTAGATCATTATACAAATAGCTAATTCACGAAAGGGTGCGGGTATGGATGGAGATTGCAAACTCCAAACAAAGGCAACATCGATCGTATCTGCTTCTTTCGGACAAGATAAATGCAGTATCTTTAAGTTTAACTGCGCTTGCAGTTTATTCTTGTTTATTAAAACGATTACTGAAATGTGTGTGTTTTGACACATTGAAATTACTCTGTACAAACACAATATATTGTTATTTACGTTGGCTATGTTTGATTCTTTTGAAAACAGTGACATATATAATTCGATTGAAGGATGATCCCACTCGGAGTTCTACAGTATAATCTATACACGAGGGTATTTTCTTAAATGATTTAATAAAATAGGCAAGTGTCTCAATTAGACTCGGTTGGTGAATCTCAAAGGGGGTTTTGCGTGTATTTCGAGAGTACGTTGTAGCTTTTAATATTTATAGTATTTTTGTAGGCTCTTTATAATATCTTTAAAAAAATTACATGATTGTGATAAAACGGTAGAAACCCCGAATATTTGAAATTACCTGTCAAGAATTATCAACAATAGTCAGAATTTGTTCAGTCATTTGTAACGTCTGCACACAGAAAACGTGTCAAACGATGCTGTGATTGGCCAATTTCTAGCATCGTTTGAATCAAAATTTTAGTACTAGCAGACGATAATTTTGATCAAAAGTCAATGGCGCGTGCAGCGTTAATTTACTCGTCCGATTTGAAAGTTTACAGTAACACTATGCTTATGGGTTTGTGTTGGGGTGTACAGAGGCCCTACGATGTTTGAAAATGTCATTGGGTCGGGCTACAATAATATTTAATTACAGGGGAGTTTTTTGCTTAGCCTTTGTTTAAAACCTGAAATTTTACTAATTTACTGACAGCGTAGGCTTACTCTTGTAATAAAATTTATTGGTTCTTAACAGCAAACGGGAAGTGGTAACATTAGAGAAGGAAATATTCTCGACCTTCTAACATTCCCTGGAGGGGCGTTTTGACACGACAGTTCGTTATCAAAGAACGTCAGTACATGCTGTCTTTCCCCAACTCATGTCCCCATTTTCTTCCGGCCAGTATTTTCGTTACCATCCACCCTACGCAAGTTAGCTCTCTCACAAATCTAGTAGCACAGACAAAGAATTTACACATCCGCCCGGCTGTCCCTTTTTAATTGTCACAGCAAGAACACTTTTATAGCCAGGATCCAGAGAGTACCTTATCGATTTGCTTTGTTAGCGCAACTCGTGTTCTTCTTTCGATTGGATTAGAATCGCTATGAATCGTCGGAAAGTAAATTGTTTCGCTGTCGAGGCTTTGTCTACTGTTCCACCTGTTGATAATGCCCCTTTTCATAGGTGAATCTTCCGGCTTTCTGAGGTAAAATTCTTTGTTCGAATGACAACCGAAACGCAGGCCTATGTACAAACTTCAAACAGAAGCTAAACATGTTGGAATCCTGAACAAAGAAACGAAAATCGGCGAGTGGACAAGTCTGGTGACTGGTTCTTCGATATTCAATCAATGAGTTATTATTCTGTGATTATACAAACTTTTGACAACTCCGTAACATTTTTTAAAAGCATTATTGATTTGTTAAATTATATTTGCCCGTATACAATTAGTATCCGATTTAAATTTTAAGAGGCGCATGTAGTTATTAATTGTTTAATGGATGTAATTAAGGTAATCATTGATTACCTCGAGTATTCGTGGCGATGAATTTCGTGTTATGATCGCGGTAATTTGATTTGTATATGGGTGACGTCATTCAATTTTTATAAGTGAAACCTCTTCGTTAGTAATGTATAGGCCTAAAAAACATTTATACTACTCCAGAATTAAAATTGGTTAAGGCCTATGATTAGGTAGTAGACCTAGATAGCTATAGCCTATTTAGTAACTGAAATCTCAATGCCGTTGTCCGATAATTTGCCTGCCTTTGATTACAAGGATACGCGGATACTTTATTCATCCCACTACGGGGAAACTTCATGGCTGGATACAACAATGTGAAAAAGCATAAGACTATTTACTAATACAGTAGTAATAATAATAATATAGTAATAAAACTATTAGGGGCCTAATAATAATAATATTAATGATGATAATAATAATAATGATGATGATAATAATAATAGGACTATGATATATATATATATATTATATATAGGCCTATAGACATATATATATATTGTCTCTTATACACATCTAGATGTGTATAAGAGACAGACCATATGGTTTATACCATTCACTCATCACCAGCAATGTGTAGATCATTATACAAATAGCTAATTCACGAAAGGGTGCGGGTATGGATGGAGATTGCATTAGTCTTTGTTTGTACTCAAATCATGGTGTGAACAGACGCTAACAAAACACTCGTTCCTCCTGTCAAATTATTGCAACACCATCAGATCCGAAATTGATTTTACTCTGGTAGATTTCTGACAACTGGGTGACTTCTCATCGTAAAAACTAGACACCGCGTGCAGTAGCATGCGTCATCGCCAATATTGATAATAGACGTTATTGATTAGTTTGGCGTACAAGTCTGGAAGGAACGATCTCGGCCATATACGCGGACGCCCCACGTGGCGAACTATAGTACGGTCGTATTTTTTAATCATTAACCAGTAAAACAGATTTACCACCACCAAATCGTTGACATTACCGTTTATGATTTATTATTTATACACACACCATTGTTCAACCCAATTCAATGTTCGTATAAATGTACGATTTTTTAATATCGTTTTAGAGTTTTTAAAGGTTAATTTTCTACTAGAATTTGCCCCATGGCTATTTTAATTTTGAGTATTGCATTGTGTTCTAAGTAAAAGAACGGAAAACCCGACCAGCACAGCACGTGCTGGTTTCCCATCCCATCCACGTACTCATTCAGTCGAGCCAATCAGACAGCGTTCCGTGGCTTTCTTGTTTACTATAATTTTAATACAGGCATATGATTGTAACAATATTATCTAAAAAAAAAATGCAGCCATACGACTGGATTAAAAAAATGGAAATGCAGGTACTGTAGTTCGATTTGAAACCCACACATCTTTTGAAAAATGCTCATAATATAGGCATACCTGCAAAAAAATAATAAATAAAAAAGTAAAAAAGAAAAAGAAAAAAATCATTCAGTTTAATAGAAAAGGTATATATTATATTCCTTTGTCTTTAGTGACTTAATATTATAATATACCAAATTAATTACCGTACACTGTAGTGATTTTGGATTTATTTAATTGTCGCACAATTGGGAATAGTTCTATTGAGCTATATGTTTATCAAGATATTGCCGGTTGTCATCATTATCATTCAGCCGTCTACACTTAAGTGTTTGTTGTTTATTGCCACAAACAAACTCGTTAATTAATGTTAATTGGTGATAATTGCCGAACAATGACAGTTTAGTAGGCCAGGCAATCTAACGTAGAATTTATTCGATCAGTTTTCTAATAGCTGTTTAAAAATAAATGGAGTTATTTTAAATGATTAACGGGGTTAAATTTAAACATTTCTGATTTATAAACTCAAGGCCATTGCGTATGGCTATATGGTAACTGCAGTTACATTGTAAACTCATTAGAGTGATCACACTGGGTTTATCATTTTATTCCAAGAAAACTAGTTTATATGGTGTTCCTCGAAAGCCTATTATATCCTATGCTTTCATTTAATCCCTTGCGTATTTCCTTGTGTGCTTTATTAAATTCGGACTACAAATTAGTTGACCATCGTATTCTGACAGACTTTGATCGATTGCCTTTTTAAAATGTTTTACCAATCACCGAGTGTGACATTGTTGAGTCGACTTTTGTATGTACTTTGCTGTTCCAGGGTCATTCTTTGTGGTCAGTCCTCTTCTGAATGTCGTATTGACAGTTCTAAGTATCTTGTTGATTGAACCTTGAGTGCCTTCAACAAAAGTTTGAACATGAACGCACGGTGTTTGCGACACAAAGGGCACAGGATGTGCAACAATAGGGGGCCTACATTTCTTCTGTTGTATTGCAGATCGGTCAATATTGACCGAATCGTATATCTCGTCCCCGTGTATATGTCCCGGTCAAGGGATTGTTGAACCGAACGCATATTTATTTATTCTTCAAAACTTCTCAAAATTTGCTGTACATTTTCTTTACTTTCATTAGTCCTATAATAAATAATGCCTGTGATAAATACTCTAAATTCAGATTTTATTTTTTTTTTTTAAACAAATTTTAATGTCTGCAGTTGAGTAATATTGCGTATATTTCTTCCTTTTACAGTGAGTTCCAAGTCAATCGAGGCTGAGCCACCGGCGCCAATAGGGTCCGTGTTCCGAAAGCCAAACCAGTCCAGTGAAAAAAGACCAGCAAAGAAACGCAGAGGAAATCTTCCGAAAGAAGCTGTAAAGATCTTGAAAGGTTGGCTGTATGAGCATCGCTACAACGCATACCCAAATGATCAAGAAAAAATGCAACTTGCCCAGATGGCCAACCTTACCATCTTGCAAGTCTGCAACTGGTTTATCAACGCCAGACGGAGAATTCTTCCTGAAATGATTAGAAAAGAAGGTCGTGATCCTGACAAATTTACGATCTCTAGAAAGACTTCTTCGAAATCTAAGGCACGTAAAGAATCTGAAAACAGCGAGGAACCAATGGAGACGGACGATATATCCGAAGCTGACAGTTACGAATCGTCTGAAAGACGACTCACCGAGAGTGAAACCGATTCTACAAAAGACATTGACGACGACGATACAAAATCTGAAATTATCTCGCATGTTGATCGCCCTTACCATCCAGTAACACCACCTTATACACCCCCGCAGCAACTGGAAACTGTGCTTCCTCCACGACGAAGAACACCATCACCGATCCACCGCCCTCTTCCACATCGTGAGCTTCAAAGACCTCCAACGTCTTACTTATGTCACGACTCTCGTGAGCCACCACATCCATTCTACCAATTTTTGCCACAGCCAGCAAGGACAATGCGTCTGTCAATGCCTGCCATTATGCCACCACATTATTATGGGCTAGTGTATGGTCATCCGCAGCGTCATTGGCGCCTTAGGCACGAGTGCGAGACGCCTTTGAACCTCGTGGTCAGAAAGGACACTGAACAATCAAATGTTGACAACAGAAAAGACATTCGAGATGAAACGTGTCATCCTTCAGGAAAATATAATTTGAATTTACATCCGCGAGATAACGAATATGCCAAAGAAACGAGATGCAACAATGGAAATGCTTTGAGTAAATTTGACGTGTTGGTAGAAGCGGCAGTATCAAGGCGGGAAAGTGAACGGCAGACGACGAATCGTCATCGACCGACACATTATGAACATTCCTTTGGAGTTACTGTAAATGCATGATATGATTCATTTTTCTTAAATATGGGATTTTTTATGAACTCTTAAGAGTTTATTTGACTCAGAACGATATTCAACTCATGCCACGCATTGTCATCGTCTGACATTTGTGTATATGATAGCGGGGAAATCGATTTTGAAAGGGGTTTTTTTTTCTTAATAAAATAAAAGTAAAAAAAATATGAAATTTAAAGATGTATTAGATACATTCCATTCAAAAATAAACATTACACTTAAATTCTTAATTTAAAGTAAGGTAATCTATTTACTACGCGAACAGTACTTTTTTTGATATTCCTTACTTTATAAGTCCAGGCCTACTTATTTAAGCTACCGTATTTTGTAAACCCACCATCGACACACAAGGGTTCGAACATTTTTATCAACTGAAACGAAAAAAAAAAAAAAACTTTATAGAAACACACAGTACTGTAATGTAGACAATTAACATAATGGCTTCTAAAAATGCGATCGTGCGCAGACGCACTTTTGCTCATGTACAATGCGTGCGTACGCACGTGACTTGTCCACAATTTAATTAGCGAAACGTACTGTGGTAGGAACTGTATCTGAACAACTCAACAGTCGAAGAATACATATTAATTACAACCAAATAATTTATTATTCACCAATAAAAGGTGCTTTAAACCCGACATTACCTTGACTGCTCTAAACCAGTGTTGGCATTGACACGAGTCAGTGTGGTTTTATTTTGGCTATGCGCGCATGCGTAATTACGAATTCCAGTACATTAATGATCAATGTGTTCCATTTCCTACAACTCAGATTAAGAGTTTACATACGATGCAAGTTACCATACCAAACCAATTTGTATTTTATTTTAACGAATTACAATTTTTCTAGTGCATTCCCATCCAAATCTTCTTTCTCCATTTTATATGACACGACGTACGTGGCGCTTCTATAAGCTTCTTTTATAAGATTTAGTAAGCTATTTTGAAGATTGTTTATAATGCTTTGATAAACCACTTTATTTCAAAACAGGGCAAACAATACAGGTTGCTGTGTTTTTTATATTTTCGTTTTTTTGTGTAGATAATGAAACTATGGTTCCATTTGTGTAAAATCCAATGACTTTTGTCAATAAAATGATCGTGTTTGCATTTTGGTAATCTATCTCAGATGTTTCATTCTATGTGCGTGTTCTGACTATTCTGATTGATGCTAAATATGTCCTCACGTTAGTTTCAACAGCGCATGCCTATGTCGAAGGTCAAATAATATGCCTATAATAAACAAATAAATCATACGACCTACCGTAAAACTTCTGATTGAAACCCTGGGTCACTATTCATTTGTTTAGTTTTTAGGTTGGGTTGACATTAGAATTAACGTATAGGTTATTAATACGCATTTGAATTGTTATTAAAGTTACTAATCATTCGCACCCACCCACGACGTTTCATGTGTCGGCAATTCACACAAATAAAAGTAAAATATTGACTTATTTATCTAATACAGTTAATCCCATACAGTACCGGGTAGGCATTCTGGAGGGGTGGGGTGGGGGTGAGGAGAGTGTTTCTATCAGAATCTTGTTACGGTAGGGTATGTGATCGTTTGCATTTCAAAATTAGTGTTTAACGTTAATTGGGATATTAATTGTGGTACGATGGTCAGCAATGACAGTATAAGCAACTGCTGATAGCAAGTGACGATTGCTTGTTCATAAGCCGCCTTTATCAGAGCGCAGTTGAAACTACAGGGCTTATTGTAAAGCGCTGAAATTCAACAAGCGCATCCAAATACGCGCCACAAAATGACCAGTCACAGATGGAGAACTTAAAAACGGCTTGTATACTATCCAAACAGGTGTGCATAGCAGGATAAAGGTGCACTTTACACCGAACCCGAATTTTCGGATTGGAAAGCCTACCGAACCGATCAGAAAATCGGAACCGTGTGTAAAGCTTTGTCTACACACTAATTGTATGCGACAAAAAAAAAAATGTGATGTGCCCATATATGGGTACGATGACGTCATATCGCATATCATCAAATTGTATTTAAAAAAAAAGTTGAACGTGTTCAACTCTATGTTCCATCACATTTTATGTGTGACGCTTATTTTTTTTTTTAATTTGATAGTGTAGACAAAGCTTTAGAATAGGGACGGTGTCTTTCAGCGCATCGGCGCGGTCTGAATTTCGGTTCGGATCCGATGTTGATGCAGCTAAATGCAGACAAACCATTGAATATGAGAATTCACTTTCACTTTCATAGATTCCTTAACAAATGTGTGAGAGGAGACCAAATTAATTTGATTTTGAGAACGAGAAAAATAAAAACGAATCTGAGCGTAATTGAAGCAAAGTTATTGCTTTCTAAAACCCATATTTTATAGAGCGGAGACAAGGGTACGCCGACTTAACGATAGTGGTTTGATAGAATCGGAAATTACCAGAATTCCAGTGGAGGTATAAGGACCATGAACGGTACTGTAACGATAAGAAGAAATATAAAAGCAATATATTATTTATAATAATACAGACCCATGTTCAATATGACTTGAAACTGGCTTGTTGACTGACACTTTGTACACCGCCTCATTACAAACAAATACATGATACCGTAAGTATTAATATGGAATTGATTAAAGAATAATTCGAAAAAGGAGGCCCACGGAGGGACTTTCCCAGATAGGGGTCTAGACCTCAGTTCCAACCATTTTGGGGCTGAGGTAAGAAAATGTATGATTAAGGCACCTTTGGGCGGAAATGGCACTTGCAGACTTAACTTTATATATATTATTCCTTTTTTTCTCCATTTTTTATAATTGAAAAAAAAAAATAGGGATTGTGGGAGGTGTTGCGGCTAGGCCGCCTTCTCCGCCACAGCTATCTGTTCATGGATGTAACTGTACTGCACATAGAAAGGCTCATTATAAGCGTTTGGGTTGGTTAGTTGAACTTAAAATTAGTTGTTGAATTGTCAACTTGCAGCTGAGCCGAGCGGTGCTGTACCGTATAGTGATGGTAGTTAACGCCAAGCCCAACTGTCATTTCCCCATTTAAACCAGTCACATTGGCCTATTTAGATTACATTTTAGGTACACAGACATCTGGTGAATGTGAAATATAATACAAAGAATGTTTGAAAGACAAACTGCAAAAATTTCAGTTTTGTATTTGGTTACCGACCGATCGTGACACCAGCGTTCGATGGTGATAACCGATGAGGAAGCAATCCACCACATACTTAAAAAGCAGCAGGAATTCTTTGAAATTAATTTGAAAAAGAGAGAAACGAGGGGTGAAAGAATAAGTTAAGTGTCGTTCTAGATTTATGTTCCTTTTTTCAAATTGTCTGAAAGAAATATATTTAGGATACCGTTTGGACGATTTGTTTGAAAATTAAGAAATTGAATCGACATTTTATTATTTTTTCCATATTGGTTAACATAATGATGCAGCAATGACGTGTATGCATGCACGTCATTGCTACATCATATTTTAATCAACATGGAAAAAAAAAATAAAATGTCGATTCAATTTGTCAATCGATTTTAGAAATTCTACCAATTCCCATATTTCTTTAAATATTGGTCCATGAACCCGTGTTAGGTTATGGGTACGTGGTCTGGTGCACGGTATATGAGACAGTAAGACAATTTGTTAAAGACGAAAAAATGTAATTCCACCACGTGATATTAATTTGTCCTGGTAATCTATGTCCCGTTACCCTGGATATTAGTGCACAAAAGCGGTAATACCCCATATAGCAGGAAGAGAGTGCCTTATCTCTGGAAGAAACCCATCGTATAAATTAGCCTCGTACGTGACCGGTGGCTGTAGGGAGAAACGGACGAATGAAAATAAATAACTTGTTAGCCAGCGGATAGTGGTTGATCCTGTCGTGGACGATAATGTAATGATATATGTGGAAATGGATAATTATAAGAACATTTGTTACACATGGAAGTAAAACAAATGATTCTTCATTTAGACATGTTGCCTCTTCTTATGTCGGGTGTGCTTAGCCCCTTACATGATAAATAAATAGATAGATAGATAGATAGATAGATAGATAGATAGATAGATAGATAGATAGATAGATAGATAGATAGATAGATAGATAGATAGATAGATAGATAGATATGGTGAGGGCGCACTCTAATCCTAAACAACAGATAGGTAAATTCGAGTTATAGCCGGTAAATTATGCTTCGTAAAAATTAAGTTGTGTACAGCTCATTATAGGCCTATTGCTGGAACCAGATGTGAATTCACTCGGAAGTTTCGAGCCTGGCACACCGGAAAATTAACTGACAGCATCGGCCACTGAACTGCAGTTTTAATTCAACGCCGGATAAATGAGATAAATCTATTAATGAACCGTTCTCCAGGAAACAACGTAAGACATCGCTTTTAATAAAACAGTGACTGCGGGAGCTCGCGTTTCAGTTTGTTTCTCCTCTTTCCTCTCAAACACTTTATCTATAGGCCACAACCCTTCCCCTTTGGTTTCGTTTGTCCTCGAGCTCTGTTATAATTTTCAGCGACCGAAATTGCATTGCCTATGAATATACGCTATGGTCTAGGCCCTTATATGCTAAGTAACATTTTCATGTGTCACCGGGTAACCTCTATACAGTTTGGGTTATGGGTGTGTGTTTGGATATAAACGATACATGTTTCTGCATTTATTTATTTATTTATTTATTTCAAATTTGCAACAGATAGGCCTAAAATATAGGCCTATATTGACCAGGAGTGAGACTATAGACAACCTTTACCTTTACCTTTTTAATTGTACAACTTGTTAAAAAACAATTACTAATTACTCAACATTCAATTCAGTTTATACTGCAATTTGTTGTTTTATGTACAGATTTAATGTTTTTTGAAATAAAGATACCAAAATATATAACACGGGACACCTCTAAATTTACCCCTGGCCAATAACATATGCGAAAGGATAAATACAACACTGTAATATTATAGTATAAAAATACAAAGTAAACGAGAAAACAGTCAACAGTCAACGATAAAATTTATCTATTCATTTGTTTGGGAACGGATATCAAGAGTGCATCAGCCAATCCACGAACGGGAGCTCACAGTATTTACATTTTCAAAATAGTGGCAAGGGTGACTACCTTCACGGGGTGTAAGCTCACGTAAAATTGTAAACATGTTTTGACAGTGACTTGCGTTAAAAAAGGCTTACGGTCTATTTATACGATAAAAAGGCTAAAAAGCAATTTTTCTTATAGAAAATAAAAGAAATAAGAGAAGATTCTACACTAGAACGATTCGATAAGGATTTATCAGATATGCGATAACAACATATTTTGACAAATCAAATCAGATGACGTCATGATCATGGAAAAACATTAAAATCGTAGTAGACGTCCCAGCAACGATTTTATCGTTTTTCCATGATTATGACGTCATCTGATTTGATTTGTGAAAATATTTTGTTTTATAAAATCGTTATCGAATCGTCCTAGTGTGAAAACTTCTCTTAGTTCTTTTGTTTTCTATATGAACAATCGATTTTTAGCTTTTTATCGTTATCGTTGAAGTATAAACAGGCCTTTACTCTATCACATACACACTCACATATACGGTACTGTAACTGTGTACAGATCCTACTGCTAGACCCTGAATACCTACTGTATAGACCCAAATACATAGGCCTACTGTATAGACCCTAATGTGTAGATCTTGGTAAATATCTGCTGAATAGACCCTAATATCTGTGTAGATCTTAAATACCTGCTGTAAATACCCTAAATACCGTACCTACTGTACGTACGGTTAACTCTAAATACCTACCGTACTGTATCTATATACCTGCTGTATATACCCTGAAAATCTACTGTATAGACCCTAATTACCTGCTGTATATACCCTAACTACTTGCTGTAGACTATAAATACCTACTGTAGACTCTAAATCCCGTACCTGCTGTACCGTATAGACCATAAATACCTACAGTATAGACCGTCGATTTAATAGGCCTACTACTGTATGTATTGAGCTAAACACCTTCATTAATTCAATAATTAAATTTCGGTAAAAACGGAATCGGTTTAACCATTGTTTAATTGGAGGTTGGTAATTTATTAATGACTTTAAAATGAAAAATTCAAAAGGTTTTTCGGGGT